TGGTGTTCAGGCTAAGCACTCTTACCACATTTAATGCTGGAAGTCCTTTCACAGCTACTATTGCCCTACACTCCTAACCAGCCCAAGGCCCAGTGTCCACAGACCTCTCTTTCCATCTTCCTAAGCTGTCTCAGGCTGGAAAAAGGATTCCCTGTGACTTCTTCTTGACTTTCCCACCCATAATTTGGTCTCTGGAAAATTTTCTAGGTTGTTGTGGAGAAGTGACCTGGACAAAAATGCTGATCAGCTAGGAAGTCAATTATCTTATCTCTTTAGGGACAGGTTTGGTTGTTATAATCATGTGGCATTCACCTTCAAGGATTTTTTTGGGTTATTGTTACTGTTCTTTCCATTTACTTTTTTTTTTTTTTAAGGCAGTTGGGGTTAAGTGATTTGCCCAGGGTCACACAGCTAGTAAGTGTCAAGTGATTGGTCTGAGGCCAGATTTGAACTCAGGTTCTCCTGACTCCATCTGCTGTGCCACCTAGCTGCCCCTCCATTTACATTTTTGATATTAAAGAAACATCTTTTAAAAAGGGGCTGTATACTGTAGAGGTTAGAGTGCTAAACTTCCTCCAAGAAGATTAAGATTTGAACCTTGGCTCAAACATTTATTGGCTAAGTGACCATGGGCCATCACTTACATCTCTGAGCATATTATATGTGGATTACTACATGTAGAGGGTACTCCCACTCTGATGTAGTATTTTAAAAAAAAATTGTAATTGTTTCACTGGAATTCTTAAAAAATAAAAGCAATGCCTGGTGAGAAAATTAACATAGAACCTAACATCCTATAAACAAATCACTGGACATTTACTTTCTCTTCTAAGCCATCCCCATTCACTCAAGTCATCATGTACCCTCTTACCGCTGAACTATGCTAGCCTTTTGTCTGTAAATGCATTATCTTCTTTTGATGCTTCATTGTGACATGGCAGTGATCCTGGGCTCTCCTAAGCTACTCTGGTAGATGACAGCAGACTCTACTAATTCAATTCATTTAATAAATATTTATTAAGTGAGTACTATGTGTCAGGCACTATGTTAAGCACCGGGTACACAAATAAGAAAAAAGAAAAACAATCCCTGTCTTCAAGGAGCTTACAATCTAATGGTGGAAGACAACACACAAAAGGAGGCAGAAAAGGGGTGGGGTGGGGGGAGAGAGCCAAGGTGGTGAAGCTCAGGGGAAGAGACACCCGGGGGTATCTTGTTCAGAGGAGTTGAGACCAGGCAGAGCAGCAGAGGCAAGGTGGTGTCACCTGAAGTCCAATTTCTGACCTCTATAAAGGAAGGCTTTGGGAGGAGTTTAGTGTACCTCTCTAGTTCTACTATCAGAGGGGAGAGAGGGCTGAGGACAATGTTAGTCCCCTGAGTTAGCAGCAGAGTGATGAGATTAGAAGTGATGAGCATATCCTTCAAGGGTATCATGTTTCATACTAAGATGGAAAGGTTTTGAGTACAGGACCAGTTGAAAACTGTGTTTCTGTTGTGTGAGGAAAAATGCATAGGTTGCCCACAAGATGAATTTTTTGGACTGATGATCTGCCAGATACCAAAGCAGTGGTTTGCTACAATAGCTTAGGCTCCAGCATTCTACAATGCTGAAAGCAAACTGTCTTGGTTAAATGGCTCTGGATTAGTGTTCTTGCTTAATTATCACTCTATCAGTTTGTATTCTTTCTCCAGGAACCTAAATGCCTATCCATTTCTATATGAGGCTTGATTTGGAGAGTGAGAACCAATAGAAGCTCCTATAGCTGAGGGGGAAGGTAATGACAGTGATAAAGATATTGTTGCATTCAGATTTGTACCAAGTGAGAGTCAACAAGCATTTATTAAGCACTTACTTTGTGCCAGACAATGAGCTAAGTGCTAAGGATACAAATAGTTATCCCTTCCACATTTTGACTTTCCCCACTGTGGTTTCGATACATTATGGGTTGGCATAAGAAATTAAATGGGAATTTTTGGGAAGTTTTGCAGAAGCTGAAGACACACAAAGGCCAGCAGACAACACAGAAAAAGTTTAGAAACTCAGAAATGCACGAAACATATGTATGGTATTTCATAACATCAACATATTTCATTTTTTAATACCATAATATTTCAGACTTCTCTGGTCATCAAAGGAGGGCCAAAACTTTTTACATGGATTTTCCAGATTGCAGGGGCACTGTAACCCTGTGATGTGGAAGGACTAACTGTAAAAGCAAGAGTAGTGTATGTTCTCAAGCAGCTCACATTCTAATGGGGCAGACAATATGCAAACAACGATGTATATTTAAGACATACATGGGGCAGAGGGAAGGGCTTAGCATAGTGCCTGTTATGTAGTGGGCACTTAAATACTCATTAACTTGACTTGCTTGGAAGGTAATCTCAGAGGGATAGTAGTACTATCACTAACGAGGACCACATTAGAAGTATTGTTTGCTACAATGTGTACATGCTGTTTTGTGTCCACACTGGTAAATTTGGACAATGATGATTGAGAGTATTGTGATACGGACGCACATGGATAAGAACAGGGAAACGCCCCTATATTTTACACCTATATTATTTCATTTAAGGACAAGCCACTCTAGAAAGATTAGAAGAAAGGGTTGTTCAGTTGGAGTAGCCAATATAATAGGCTAAAGTATGGACAGAAGATTCAGTGATTATGAAAATGGGGCAGGAGACAGAGACTGCACTATTGCTCAACTTTAAGGATGTAGTTATCACAGAAGATAACTGATGCTGATATTATACCTTTTCCAAGAATGGCTTTTTCTGCAGATTTATACCATGAGTTACCACCATAATCATAAGTTTGCAGTCTTTATTAAAAGAAATTTACCCAGGAGGGTATATTTGCAGCTTATTGACTGGTGTTTCATGTCCAGTTATAATCACCTAGGTCTATAATTCTTTTCCTCACAATATGCATCTTCTATAATAAGGCAGCATGCCCACATGGGGCAGAACGCAGAATCCAGAAGTATGGAAAAGCTTGGAGCAGTAAGCCTGAGGTATGAATGCAGAATATGAGGGATATTTGTTCTTTGGGAAGAGATTAGTCTTACTTCTTTACCTCTGTTCCTTTTGTGCTCAATCAATCAAGTTAACTATAGGGAATATCTAAAAATTACTATACCATGTCCCACTGAACTAACTGGAAGCTTTTGCTTTTATGATGTTCACTTTAGCTTGGAAAATGAATTCTATAATTCCAGTCTGTTGTTACAAATTGGACTCAAAAGTTGTACCCTCTAAAGTGCCTGTGAAAATTTTAAGAAATTGGGATGGAAGCCTTAATATATTGAAGATGAGTGTCCTTTTGTCTTTTTAATAGCCAAATAAACAAACCTAAGTTGCATATGTTGTTATAAAACAAACCAGCAAGCAATGGTTCAGCTAGATGGCTCAGTGGATAGAATGCCGGGCCTAGAGTCAGGAAGCTCCGAGTTCAAATCCAGCCTCACTTACTTTCTATGTACCCTGGGCAAGTCACTTGACCTCTGTTTGTCTGGGAGGCAGCTAAGTGGCATAGTGGATAGCTCTGGGCCTGGAGTCATGCTGAGTTCAAATCTGACTTCAGACACTAGCTATGTGAGCCTGGGCAAGTCACTTAACTTCTGTTTGCCTCAATCCATTGGAGAAGGAAATGGCAACCCACTCCAGTGGGTTTTGTTTTGCCCACAGTCCCATAAGTGAACCATTGGTTTTTGGGATCAGCTTGTACCCTAATCTTTGTCCAACATACTAACATAAAAGGATTCACATCAGAGGCATACCCTTTGTTACATTTCAGTAATTTACCACAGCAGATAATTTATGACCACTCAAGTTATATTAAGAGGACGGGGGGAGGGGAGGGGTAAATACTACTAGAGTGAAATATTTAACTTGGTTGTCTAGAACTTACAAAATGCTTTGTACAGAATCAGTATCTTTAATCATGCTTACTACCATAGGTCTGTCTGTGTTTATATAGCCATCATATGAAAGGAGGCTCTGTAGTTCAGCCTGGGAACTTAACTATTTATATCTGATACAGGCATTCAGGGGTTAAGAACATTAGAGTCCTGCTGCTCACATCCAGCAAAAAGGGAAAATTGCAGATGAGAACACAGGCCTCTATCTCTTCATAGCTGTGACTGACTAGCCACATAAATAAGGTAGGTTGATGGTGATGCAAGGAACATTTCCACCCATCCAATTTCTAGAGTAAACACTTACATACCTGTGCTGCAGGCACGTATGTACACATGTCTAGAAGTCAGATACTGGAAACTGTAGAATACCTGAATTACTACTCTCTTCTAGTTATCAGCCAAGTTCTACTACCTTATTTTAAGAATTCTCAATTGACTGCTGTGAGCTACATATGGTTTGCAAAGTACTTTACATACATTTTCTCAAATCTTAATACAACAAAGGTATACTGTGGAAAAATGATCAGATCTGTCTAATGAGGTAGCTGAGTATAGATATTAACTCCCACCTAATATAGGCTCCATGGAAATAAGCCATTAAGTAAACATGGGGACAGCTTGCTTCATAGGATAGGAGCATCATAAATGGGCATTTCTTTTTCACAATGAACAATACTGTAGTGAAGTTTGGTTGTAATGTATTAACATTACTGCAAAATAATAGAGGTCCAGTAACAAAGGGTTTGCCTCTGATATGAATCCTTTTATGTTAGTTAGTATGTTGGACAAAGATTAGGGTACAAGCTGATCCTAAAAACCAATGGTTCACTTATGGGACTGTGGGCAAAACAAAAGCAATAGAAGTGGAAAGTATCTGCATAACTAGCAAGCAACACAAGTACACGTCATCTGAAGAGGTAGCATGCATTAATACTTTTGAGCAATAGCAGGTTAAAAATTTTCCCCTTATGTACTCATACTGGTGATGCTGTTTTCTCCTCTAAATCTGAGTATTACCTTTCTACATTCAGCAAAGCTTGAAAACATTTACCTTATTTTATCATGCTAAAGAATGAGTAAATACAAAAGTAATTTTACTTCCTTTCATAAAAGTAAAATAATTTTTTCAAACATTATTAAAGCAAAAGTAGTCAGTTAGCATTATCTATATTGGTAAATGGAAGAATTTTACAAAAGATTTCCCCCACAAAATTAACAATTAACAAATGGTTAAGAAGAACTACTCAGAACTGCCATCATATACAAGAATAGGTTCTAATAACAAAACCCAAGTTCCCTGGGCAGATGCCATATTCAGGACAATCCTTTATTGTTCTTTGCCTTTTTTCTTCTTGAACTTGGTGGAGTCTGAGTCAATGGTGTTACTTTCTTGTTAACAATTGGTGGTAGTTTAAGTACAATTTCATTATCTACTTCATCATCATTCATTTCAGCTGCTTGAGCTTTCCGCCTCTCTAAAAATGTTGGTGAACAAATGGCTGTGGGACCCTAGATACAAGAAACAAAAGACAAAAGTAAATACATTGAATGTCATTTCTGGTTTGTGTATGTGAAGGCTCTTAATTTACAGAGATACAGAAATGTGGACTCTTAAGATGAAATAAGGACACAAAAGGTAATCTAGTCCAAATATTTTATTTTACAGATGAGAGAACTGAAGGGCTAGGAAAGTCAACTGATTTGCACAATTAGTCAAAGAGTAAGGACATTAGACATAAATATCAGTCTGCTTTTAGAAAGCAGCTGTAAATCTGGTTTCTATATTAATTTCAAGGCGTTTTCACACTTCTTCATTCAATTTGCATATACAAGTAGGTAGTAGTTCAGATACTTGTCAAGAAAGTAAGACTGATCTCTTCCTCTTTAAATTAATTAGAGCATTAATACTGAAGTCCCTGATGTAAGCTGCAAATACTACTTTTTCAAATTATATATCCCTATATATAAAATTACATACATTGAGGTGAATCAAAATGTAAAGTACTGTAATAAGTCAATTTTAATAGGTTCTCTTAAACTTATCTCAAACTCTAACTCCCCATATATAAAGAATTTTATTATAAAACAATGACTCACTTGACTTCTGAATTTTAAAAGAAATCAGTAAGTTATTTTCACCTATCGAGCTTATTATAGTGACCACATCTAAAGCTCGATGCAGTGTAAATAATGTAATTTTACCTGGCTGTCCACAGAATTAAAGACAGTATCTGAAACATTCATTTTTTCCCTCTTGGGTAAATCCTATAATACATATTTAACAAGTTATTTACATATATACACACACCCCCCATACCTATCTAAATATGCATTGTTAACATTTGGTGCCCCAAATACTTTTACCTCATTATCAACAGACTTCTGAAGAGTAGTCCCTGCAACCTTCTTTTTTCTCCTGTTCTGTAAAACCTTAAACAAAAGTTTAAGATGATAACATTTTAATATAGTTTTGAGATTATTACTTTTGTTATTGATAACAGTTTAGACCAGTAATTTTTAACCTTTATTTTCATGGACACCTTGCTTCCCGCACCCCAGCCTTGAGAAGCCTGGACATCCCTTTCTCAGAACGTTTTAAAATTAATAAAAACATATATTAAAAAGGAAAACAATTATATTGAAATAGTTATAAAAATATTACCAAAAAAAGCAAGTTAACAGACCCCAGGTTAAGCATCCCTGATATGGACAGGTCAGTAGCTTTCCTCAAGGGAATGGAAGAGTGGGGAAGGGGAGAAAAGAGAAGTGTATACAAATAAACAAACATATTACAATGTATAATGTAATAAAGGTATGGATGGAATCTAAAGTCCTCTAGACAGCAGACTGAGATAGAATAGTGTCCCAATTTGGTTGGCCCATTGAGTATGTGAAGGGGAAAGATAAGCTGGAAAATAAGACTGGAAAGAGTTGAATGTCAGGTCAAGGAATGTGTATTTTATCTTGGAAGCCATAAGAAGTCACTGAAAACTTTCTAGCATAGAAACAACATGGTCAGATCCATGCATCAGAAAGAACAGATTGTACAATAGAAGGCCTAGAGGAGGGACAACTAGTTAGAAGATTATTACAAGTCTGTGCCTGATGCAGATGGGTATACCTGTAAGCAAAGAACAGGACTAATAAAAGAGATGTTATAGAGGGAAAAATGATAAGGATGAAACTGATGAACTCTAAGGATAAGAAAGAGAAAAGATAAATTCCCCCTAAATTCACTGGGAAAATGGTGGCATTCTCAACAGAAAGAAGAGAAGCTCAGAGGAGGGAAGAGGAGTTGAGTTCTGGAAATGTTCACCCTTAACACCTCCAACACATACCTATGTAGGTATTTGGAAATATAGGAAAGAGCTTCAGATAGTGAAATCGAAAACTTAAATTTGAAATTACCTAAATAGGAGTAAAAACTAAGCCATGGAAAGTAGATGAAATAATGAAGGGAAGAAGTTTACAGACAGCCTAAGATGAGGTATAAGGGGACATATTTAAGGAGTAGGAAGTAGACAATGAATCAATGAAGGTGACTGAAGAGAAATAGGACAAGTAAGAAGAAGCAGGAATGAGTGATGTCATGGAAATCAAAGGAGGAGGGAATATTTGGAAAGTAGGAGTAACTGTGAGACAAAAACTGTAACAAGGTCAAGAAGGGAAGAAGACTGAGAAAAGACCATAATATTTATCAACGAGGAGGTCATAGTAATCTGCATTGAGATTTGAAAAAAAAAATCCACAAATAATATAAGATAGGGACAGAGAGAATGTAGAAGAGGCTGGTAAGGGTCCAAATAATAGGCTCAAAGACTTGAGCTGATCAGAAAGAAATCTGTTAGGTCCAGGAAGCCAGTCAATCCACAATAAGGGAACAAGTTTGCTATTACATAGTACTTACTCCCCTAACTCCAGCAGTTAAGTAACAAAGCTAGCCTAATACAAAGACTCCAGAAGTCACAGTAAAGCCATACCTGAAAATTGCTCATCTTTTTGAAAATGGACTATTCCAGCTTTGAACTGGTCCAGAAAAAAAAAAAAGGGTGGGGTGCCTTAGGGGACACACATGCCCCAGCTTGGTCCTCTAAGCCCTTCTTAGGAAGGAGCTGAACAATTATCAGTGGGTATTGTGTTGGAAGCATTGTGGAGGGTCCTAATCAATTTTACATTACAGTAATAAGCGTAAGGCTAAGGTAAAACCTGCCTTTTGTCACTGGGTTGACTGCTACTGGAAATTTATCTACTGTTTGATGCCCACTCTGTCAGTCACTTTGAGCTCCTGTGCCATGGAAAAGACAACCGCCACTACCCTTATGCTGGGATGGAATACTAATGTAGGGCCTGAACGCTACTCAGCTGCTTTTGTCCTCCTGTGCTAGACAAAAGCACTGCAGGTGTTGCTACTGCTGGGGCCTAACTCTTACCTTCCTGTGCTGGAGGATAGACATAATACAAACACAAAAGGCAACAGAACCAGAGACTCCTCTAGGCCAGTACATGTACTTTATTTCCCGTGTGAAAGTAATAGTCATTTCTGCTGGGGTTAAGGAAAAGCTATTGAGGCTTGAGTTCTATGCTCTTCAGGGACCCCTAATTAGAAGTAACAGAGAATTACAGCTCAGTTGGGGGTGTGGCAGAGTGGAATGGAAACCTTTTAAACTAATGCAGCATCCCTGACTGTCCTTAGCTAATTAAATGGGAAGCAATGAGTACACCTGTCCATATCCCTAATTCTATAAATATCTTTAGGCCTCTGAGGAAGATTTTAGAATTGTCCTTTCAAATGCCACCCCTCCTCACCCCCAATGGCTTGCACCAAAGAATGCAAATAAATAAATAAATAAAAATTGAGGTTTGTCCCTCAAATTCCAAGTTAAAAAACAAAACTCTAATAGTTTCTTCAGCACAGTCAAAACAATACTAAAATACAAGCGATCTGCTTTGATTTGCATTTTCTCACTGAAGAACCTCATATCACCCTCTTAATGGTTAGTTATTTTCATATACAATTTTAGGACTGCTGGTTCAGCTGCACAATCATTTCCAAAAAGTCATTCAAAACCAAAGTTTGACTTCCTAAAAGGAAGGCCCTTTAGGCCCTTTGAAGTTTCAGAAGGCTTCTCCTAAATTGGGTGATAATGTCCATTACATATAAAGGTATCCAGTCCCAACAAGCACAGCACAACTAGTTATTTGGAATTAGTCCTCCCAATGAGGGGAAATCTTTCTCTATTCCTTAAATTTCAACCCTTCAGGCTGCTCTGAAGGTAAGCCAAATACTTTAGAGATTCCCCTAGTAGAATATAAAGGCTTAAATTATCAGGCTCCAAATCCAAACAAAGCTGGAGGGCCTGAGACAAAGTTTGCCCAATTATCTTCAAAATTTAGTTCTTAAAGACAGGCATACTCACATCAATTTCTCCTTGCTGAAAGGCCCCAGGTGGTTTACCCTCTAATGTGCTATGAGGTGAAGCTCACAACAAGCAACCATCATTCTAGAAGCATCACCAAAAGCACCACCAAAAGTGTATGACACCCAGTCAGGGCTTACCTTCCTTTGCACTGCCAACTCAACGAGTTCATTATGTTCCAATCCTGCAAAACTAGGGCAAATATTCTAGTTTGGTCTTGATTCAATCAAGTCCCTGAAGTACTTTAGATTTAACATTGGAATAAAATGAGGTATTAGCCATAGCAGAAGAATATTCAATGAAGACAGGTACTGAGGACACCTCAAGATGATCTGGCTGAACAAAACTCCTTTTCTTAAATTACTCATCAAGGTCCATCAGGCAAGCATCAGAGGTGTCCCTGGAGCTCTTCAGGACTGCTCTGTGCTCAGGTAATGATAATGTGATATGAACAGAATCAACCAAACCTGGAGAAGGTCTCAATACCTTTTAAGGAAAAAGCAGACTAACCTGAATGTGGGTCGGGACTAGGATATTGCTCCTATCATAGAATGGTAGTGACATTCAACTCATCTTAGATTTAAGGTGCCACACAGTAAATTAAGCTTTACCTAATACAATTCCCAAGGTTAACTTTGGCAAAGATATATTCCTAACACTCGGCCAAATACACAAAATCCTTCATAGATTTTTAAATGTAGTTCATAAATAAACACTTACTAATTTAGGAAATGTATAATCTATTCCCTTTTCAGCTAATCTCTTTCGGAGCTTATTTTCTTTCTTTTTAAATCGCTTCTCCATTCTTATCTTTTCTTCATATGTTCGTTCCTTGTTATAGCGTTTTACTGCTGGATGAGAGGGCTTTGAAAATGGAATGTCACAGCCTTTGAAAAGTTCTTCATGTACTTTTTCAGGTGGCACAAAATGACCTACAAAATACACACAAAAGTTCTCTCAATCAAAGAGAAAATTGAACATGGTTTTCCTAATTACTACCACTTTCGAACCTTAATCAAATAAATTACAGTGTAACTGACTAACAACATGGGGAAAAATGTAAATACTGATCTCATAAATAATATGCTTAATTTCATGTACAAGGATAATCAAAATCAGAACCTTTGACTTCTTTATATACTTAATACTGAAAATCGAACAGGAGCTTTACCCTTTACACATTAATTTTATTGTCATTTCCTTACCACCAATCCCTATATCCAGCATTTCTCTACCCCTTTAACAATAAAATTCCACAGGGGCAGCTAGGTGGTGCAGTGGATAGAGCTCCAGCCTTGGAGTCAGGAGGACCTGAGTTCAAATATGACCTCGGACACTTGACACTTACTAGCTGTGTGACCTTGGGCAAGTCACTGAACCCCGACTGCCCCACCAAAAAGCTAAAAACAAACAAACAAAAAAATACCCCACCAAAAAAATCCCAGAAATTACAAAAGTAGTCAAATCTCAGATTTCTATGGTTGCTGGAAACAAAGTTTCCAAGAAATTTTCATTTTCCTGTCTGTACAATATTTAGCAAAATCTAGCTATGATATTAACTAATATTTATATATCAACTATTATATGTGTCAGGCACTATGCTAAGGGCTTCATAAAGATTATCTCATTTTATCCTCACAAAGACCTTGGGAAATACTGTAGTGGTTTGCCATTTCCTTCTCCAAATCATTTTACAGATGAGGAAACTGAGGCAAAAAGCGTTAAGTGTCTTGCCCAGGGTCACACAGCTAATGTGTGAGGCCAGATTTGAACTCAGGAAAATGAGTTTTCCTGACTCCAGGCCTGGCACTCTATCCTCTGAGCCACCCAGCTACCCAAAGGGGTGTGGGAGTGGGAGATGTGGAATGCAGCACCTCAAGTATAAGGGTGGGCAGGTACTTGGTCCACCATAGGTACTGTGGCAGAGTAGTGAAACACACCATAGCAGGTACAGAGAGCCTGTGGTGCTTGCACCACTGCAGATTACTGCACCATAAGAAAGTATAAAATGAGAAAAATACCCCCAAAATCAAATTTTATTTTTGAGGTGATGGAGAGCAAGGAAAGCAATGTTAGTTGGTGATTTCCCACCCTACCTCAGCTGAGTATGGACCCAACTTTTTTTCTAAAACTCAATTTACTTAATTTTCAGTTTTGAATTCTCTCCCACCACCCTCTCCCCCCTCTCCCCCACACATTGAGAAAACAAACAAACAAACAAAAAAGCCTGTTACAAACATGTATAGTCAAGCAAATTCCTGTAATAGTCACATTAAAAAAAAAAAAAGCTTCAATCTGCAGCCTGGGTCCAGCACCTCTCTATCTCAAAATGGATAAAGCATGTTTCATCATGAGTCCTTTGATTCCACTATATTGATCAGTTTCTAAGTCTTTCAAAGCTATTTTTCTTTACAATATTGTTGTCATTGTATAAATTGTTATCCTAGTTCTGCTCACGTCGAATCAGTTCACATAAGTCTTTTTTTTCTAAAACCACCACCTTATTTCTTACAGCATAAGAGCATCCCATCAAATACATATACCATAACTTGTTCAGTCATTCCTCAATTGATGGGCACCCTCCTTGGTTTCAAATTCTTTGCCACCATGAAAACAGATGTTATAAATATTTTTGTACATAGGGTCCTTTTCCTCTTTCTTTGATGTCTTTGGGGGTTATAAACCTAGTAGAGTTATTGCTGTGAGGGACCCAACTTCTTTACCAAATCATTTTTCTAAATGCATTAAAACACCACACCACCACCACCATCACCCACCACCACCTGTTTGCAAGCACAGTAGAGGATACCTAAGGAATACATCCTTATGGAGATCACACTCCACGTAGGCAAACAAAAGTATGAAACTAGAGAATAATATTACAACAATATACATTAACACACCACTTATCTGGAAATCAGAGCACAGATTTATAGCTAGAAGAGAACTCAGAAGTCAAATCCAACCCTTTCTTTTCACAAATGATGAAAACTAGGGCCCAGAGATATTGACTTGCCCAAAGTCACAAAGATAGCAAACAGAAGGAGCAGAGATTTGAACTCAGGTCTTCCAACTCCACATCTAGGGTTCTTTCTACTACACCCAACTGCATCTTTTTTACCTGAAGAGTTGACCCATTGCTCACTTAGAGAAATCTGCTTTGTAGACAACTATTGTTAATTATAGTAATATTTTTGTAAGACTTCCTTGAAACCCAGTCAAGATAAAGTTTCTGTAAGATGTAAGCTTGTTATCTGGAATATTCATCATGTAGAATGTTCTCCTATGCAGTCAGAGAAGTAGAGAATCACTGTATAATCAGGTAAGAGAAGGAACATAGTCATGCACTGGATGGTACTTTGTAGATATGCTTCTTGCTGGCTCACACTCTGCCCTTCCCTCCAAGGGACAGGGATCAAGTTAAGTATTTTGCTTTAAAAATGAGGGAAGCTCAAGTAAGTTTTTCATGAAATTATCTTAACAGCTCATTGCTCTTCTAGCATTACATAAACTATAAATTCTGACAGGCATTATTCTGAACTGGAAACTTGGAAATGCACCTAAATCTAACCAATTATCCACAAGGAATTACCCTGGAAATGAGTTAGTTGTCTCTAAGTGGCTGAGCGGCCTGATCACCATACACATAAGCCTCCAACACTAGAAGAGGATTCATTTGTAATATTAAATGTAAGATAAAAGAGAAAAAGGAGAAAACTGCCCACCCTGAGATAAAGACCATATTATAATCACGTCACAAGTCTGACAGGAAAATATCTTCCAGAGATACTTACACTTCAATAGCCTTTCACAAAAAAGGTAGTTGTTCATTGTATCAGCAACAATCTTAGCAACATCATCAGATTCAAACTCCAGAAATCCATAGCCCTTACTATTTCCAGTCTGCAAGAGAAAGTCCATCATGAGAAGGCACAGTGTGAAAATTTTAATAAACAAAAAATTCCACAGAATTTCACTAATTTAAGTCATGTAAATTACTTGTTAAGGGTGCCAGACTGAAGACAACTAACATAATACTTCATCACACAATCACGAATGGCCAGCAATTTAAAAAACAGAAAAAAACTTTTTTTTTTTTAAAAGAAAGGTTAATACAGTTGTGATACAAACAAGTGGTAGCAATTTACATATTCACTATTTTCCCTCTAGGTTTTCAAAAGACTGCTCTCTCTTGGTTCCCGTCCCTGTACGACCACCATTCCTTTTCAGTTTCCTTTGCTGGAACTTCATCCAGTTGTATCCATCTAACCAGGGGTGTCCCCCAAGGCTCTTTCCTGGACCCTCTTATCTATTATTTTCATTTGGTGATCTCGATCACCTCCCAAGGATTCACTTATCACGTCTATGCAGATGATTCTCAGGTCTACTTATGCAACCCTGACCTATCTCCAGATCTTTCATCTCACATTCCCAAATCTCCAAATATTGTAACTATATCAAAACAGATACCTCCAGGACACCTTAAATTCTCCTCCATTAAATTATGGGCTTCTAGTGAGCAACTTTTTTTTTTTTAAACTTTTCTTCTAATTCCCAGTGCTTAGCAATATTGTCTGACATGGAGTAACGCAGTTAATACTTACTGACTTGAGTTTTATTATCACTAGAATCCAGGACTTATGATGGGATGAACATGACATAGTTCACTTAGAAACTGGCATGGTCTCATAAGCTCAGTAGTGGTGTCATAAATGGAGTGCGTAGCTGTATTTATATACCATTATACTACCTAAGTCAGGAGATAAGGGATTGATGGGTCTAGGAACTGGAAGTGAACAGAAGTGTTGTCACGTGCAATGTAGAAAAGGATCCCTCAAACACACAACTGTTAGGAAGAAGCAGAGGGGCATAGAAAGTGATGGTACAGAAACTCCCACTGAAGTTTCTAGAGAGCAGGATGAGTTCAGGTGTAAAACACTGGCAGTAGGAAATCTACTTTAAAATCAAATGAGATGCAAATTAGCAAAAATGACAAAAAATTGACAACAATCAATGTTGGAAAAGTTGTGGAAGGAGAGATATACTAATACACTATTGGTGGAACTGTGAAATGGCATCACCCTTTTGGAAAGCAACATATAATTATGTATATAAAGTGATTAAAATGTCCATATCCTTTGAATCAGATTCCATTAGTGGGCTTCCTCAAGGAAGTCATCAATAAAAAGAAAGTCCTAAATATTCCAAAGTATTTTATAGAAGCACTTTTTATGAGAGCTAAGAATTAGAAACAAAGAAAATGCCAATCAGTTCGGGAATAGCTAAACAAATTTTGGCACATCAATATAATAGAATATCACTGTGCTAAAAGAAATGAAATGAGTGCAATGAATAAAGAGAAACATGGAATTATCTAGATGAATAGTAAACAGAACCAAGAAAACAATATATATAGTAACTACAACAATGCAAATGGACAGAATTACACACAAAAAAGCTAAAAAAAAAAAAGTAACAAAATCATAAAGACCAAGTGAGACTCAAATGCAGACATATAAGAAAACAATCTCCAATCTATCCTTTTGTGGAGGTAGAAGGTTCAACAGTGTTACTACCTTATACACATTTTCAGAGTTTTAAAAATTATCAATTAGATGTGATTTTTTTTCCTCTAAAAAATGCTATTTATCATATGAATTGGCTCTCTTTGAGGGAGAAGAGGGATTATTGAGATAATGATGTAAAAAATAGAAGATATAAAAAAAACTTATAAAAATCATAAGAGAACTAGAAAAGACAAGGAGAGGCTGGAAATAGTGTATTTGGTTGGATCTCATCCACTTACATATCTCTGTGGGAGGATGTCTAGAAGATTTGTCATTCCAGGTCACAGAATCATACATTTTAAGAGTTAGAAGATCTCTGTGGTCATCTAGCCAAGAGTAAACTGGTTTTTCTGCCAACTTCTAACCATTACTTCTAGTGCTACCCTCTGGGGTATAATGATACTTCAAATATTTGAAGATAGGTAGTATTCTGACCAACCTGACTCCCTCCAAATTATGTTGTGTTGCTAGTGAGCCCACACAAAGCTAAGAGATGAGATCCAATCTACTGGTTTTCCATCATCTTTAAACATAAATTGTTAAATTTTTAAGTCATGTGCCAAAATTCACTTCCTTGGGAGAAGGGCATTCCTCTTTTTAGGCAGTAAGAGGAAAAAGTTTGGGGGCAGCAGCTTCAACTAGTCTACAATGTTAACAGTGATCAATCTGAATACTGTTGCTGTTCATTCGTTTTCATTCATGTCCAATTCTTTGCAACTCCATTTGGGATTTTCTTGCCAAAAGATACTCATTTTACAGATGAGGAAACTGAGGTAAACAGGATTAAGTGACTTGCCCAGGGACACACAGCTAGTAAGTGTCTGAGGCCAGATTTGAACTAAGTAAGTGGAATCTTCCTGACTCCAAGCACATCTACTGCACCATTTAGATGGCCCCCAACCTGAATATAACCTTCGGCACCACTAACCACGTCAAGACCCTTCAGAACTGCTCTATTGCTTCTAGGATAATATACAAGTGCCTTCACCTAGCACTTAAAACTCCATATTCTGGCTCCATCTGTATCACTCCAGGTTTCTCAGTACTCCTCTCACAACTACTACATTCTAATCAAAATGCTCTACCTGTGGTTCCCTGATCTTGGCATTAATCTTCTGTCTCCAAGCACCTGTACATTAGCTTCTTTGACACTCAACTAAGGTGCTACCTCTGCTAGTAAGCCACTCCAGATTCCTTTAAAGGCAGAGACAGTTTTTCATTTTTGGTCTTTGTTAACTCATCATTAGCATAATGCTTATAATAGCCTCTCTCACACAATATAGATACTTAATGTTTGTTGAACTGAAAGGGAGCTGACTCCCTATTATAACAAAGATGCTTTTTTGGGGTTACTTAATTTCATTACCTAAAAACTATAGGAATGTTACAGATCCACATGTTGTAGTATTTACTAGGAAATGACAGGCCTCTATGCTTTTTAAAAGTGTTAATGAAAATTTAAAAGTATAACAATGACTGATGGGTCTTTTTCTGACACAGCTTTTAATGAAGGATGGAAAAGGAATAGGTAGTATAGGAGGTGTGCAGGCTCTGAAAAACAATTGATTTACCCTGTAGTAAAACTTCCAATGGTCATTTTCTAGTCTCGAGGAAGAAGTTAAAAGTCTCTGCATCATGATTTATATTCCCCTTGCAATCCTATTTTCTCTAGGAATACAATAGATGAAACAATCAAACTTAACTGCACTTAACTTTTATGGAAATTACTTAATACTATACTATAAGCAGATTACAGAAAGACAACATATTCAATCCTCTCATTCTGACACTCAAAAACAAATAAACAAGATATCATGATGCATTAAATGAAATTTAGGATGACTGTGCTTCCAATAAACTCTTGATTTCCAATTTTCCTATATAAGTTTCAACAATGGAAACTGGCTGGAAAAGCATATGAAAAAGGAACAAGAAATGGATGAGAGCAGAGTCCTATAGAAAGAAAATAAATCTCTTTTCCACAAAACAGGCTAAATTAAGGATAGAGTGCTAGACTTGGAATCAGAAGACCCAGGTTCAAATCCTGCCTTGGACAAGTATTACTAGTTGTGTGATCCTGGGCATGAAACTTAACCTCTTCAAGCCTCAGTTTCCTAATGTGTAAAATCAGCCTCTAAGGTCCCTTCAAACTTGAAATCTAGGATCCTATGAACTATAAAATCTTTACCTTTTTACTTCGGGAGAGCCTAAGTCTTTTGACAGTTCCAAATTGAGTGAAGTATTCCTTGAGTTGAGGTTCATAAAGGCCTCTGGGAAGGTGACCCAAATATACCACTCCAGGAGTCAGTTTCTCTGGCTGAAAAACGGGAGAAAAAAGGCTCACATCATTTCTCATTCTCATTTAACCTAAGAAATGTTTTCCCTAAATATAACTAATCCAACTCTCCTCTTTAAAATGGGGCCCAGATGCCCTCTTAGACCCCTTCCAGTTCTAAGTTCATGATCCCACACTTGTAATTCTAAAGATGCCCCCAAAATCATTTACCATGTACATATATAACTTTTCCTTTAAATAGGTAATCTCAACCTTTCACATATTTACTCTTCATTGTGATTACAAGTCTTTGAAACACGACCACCCAAGGCAATGGAGTTGTTTTAGACTATAAACCAGAAAGGAGATAGGCATGTCTTTCAGTATCTCCTAACTTAAAAACACGGGCCTGAAGTACTTACAAAACTACTTGGGCTGGGGGTAGAGTGGGAATATCAGAATTTCTGGAGAAGCAGCTCCCCCTGCCCCTCATATTTGATGCTCTTACCTGAGAGGGAAAGGCAGAAGAGTATATATTGTGAAGGGAGGTGGTGGTAGGAAGCGAGTCTAAGAAAGAGGTGGGAAACCTGCAGCCTTAAGGCCACAGGTAGCCCTCTAGGGCCTCAAGTGCTGCCCTCTGACTTAATTCAAACTTCTGTAAAACTTGGTCTCAGTCAAAATGCCATACCCAAGGACCTAGAAGGCCACAGGTTCTCCACCCCTGGTCTAAGACGTTTAGGATTAGGTAAGATGAGGCCTCCCCACCATATATATTTCTCTTTTCTTTACTGTTCTCTCTTCTCAAAAATTCTTATTTTCTGTCACTACCTATATTCTAAATCTCAGATAACCTTCTTTCTATTCAGGACTTTTCTGACTTGACAACCCAAATCCCAGACATGCTCCGAGGTTCATTCCAGCTTTAATTCTATCATTGATTTCATCCTTCAAGACCCAGCTCGTGTCCCATCTCCTCCAGGCAATGTTCCCTCAAGTACAATTTGTCTTTTAAGACACACGTCACAGATATCCCACCCCCACTCCCAGCCCCTTGAAGCCCAAAGCCTCCCACCAAACAAAGTTCCTTTTCTAAGCAGACCCTCACCTGCGGAGGCGCTGAAAACCTGAATAGGTCATCAAGATGGGGGAGGGGGCGGGGAGAGTAGGAAAATAAAACAGCGCGCTCTCGGGCCGAGCCGGGCAGGAAGACCGGCGAGGCCCACTCGGGTCGGAAAGGACACGCGTGTCCGTCTCGTCACAAACCGCCCCCACGCCCCCACCCCCGGCACGCGCCGGACCTCGACTGAGGCGGGTGGCTCGAATCCCCGCCCCCCACCGTTGACGGGAAGTGCGCACGTGCTGCCGCATCCGCCGCTCCTCAACGGCCGCTCACCTTACTAGCTCCACGCTTGCGGACACTCGCCACCCGCTTCTGAAACTCGGTCTGCAGCTTCGGATCCAGCGACAGAAGCTCTTTGGGAACTTTGTTCGCCGTCTTCGAGCCCGACGCTGTAGCCGTACGCGTAGCCTCGGCCACACCAATAGACCACTGCGCCGCCATTGCGTCCTCAGTCTGGGAAACTTCGCACACCAGGCGGCACTACCGGAAGTGCGTCATTCCCCGGAGTCCGCGAGAGGAAGATTGGGCGGGGCGAGGGAGGGAGGGCGAAGGAGAACTTCAGGAAGAGTTTTGAAAACGGACCGGTAGAGAGGGGGCGGGGCCTAGGCTTCAGAAGAGCGCATGCGCCATCTGCCGGCCTTCGGCGTGCTTGACTTTCTTTAGCTCAGTGAGGACCGAGTTTTCTCCGAGCTGGTGGAAGGGTTTGGGAGTGTGGGATGCTCGACCTCCAGGATCTTCGGGATCTCAGAGGTCATCCTAACTCGCCTCCCTCATTTTACAGTTGAGGAAACAGTCTCAGAGAGCCTCAGAAACCGATTTGCCCAAGGTCACACAGTCACAGTAGCAGACTCACATGAATTCCTTGATTTGAAATCCAAGCTGGATTTTCCCACTGTGCCAGGGCATTGCCTGGGGCTTCCTCCGCCCCATGCCCAAAACTGGAGTTGGAATACTCTTTGCTCCTCATTGCCACTTCCAGGTTCTCCTCCTTCTTTCAGCACCCAATAACCTCTCCTCCTTTGAGGTTCATGCTCTTCATATCCACCACCCAATGAAAGTCCTGGTAGCTGTCCCAGTCACTCACCTTTCTTCTTCAGTGAGTTCAATACCTGTCTTACAATTTTTCTCTCTTCCCCAACTCCTACTCATATTTGGGGACTTCAACATACATATTGATTCTCCCTTAAATACCCTATGCACTTAGTTCCTCAACCTACTCACCTCCCATGACTTCCACCCTACCTTACAAACATGCAAAGATAGGATCTTGCCATCAACCACAAATGTACTGCTTCAATAGTAGTATTCAATATTAAAGAATTCTGTAATCCTCTATCCAACCATAATCTATTGACTTTTCACCCTTCCCTCTGCCTTCCTTTACATGACCCTACTACTCTTCATCCATACTGTGGCCTCCAATCCTTTGACCCCTCAATTCTCTCCCAGGCCATCTCCCCTGCCCTTGGCGCTCTCTTCTTTTCTCCGCATCCATTGATGAACCAATTCAACCTTATATGGTCCTCTCTTGAATCCCTAGCCCCCCTATCCTATCACCTATTACACCCAGCCAAGCCTCACCCTTGAATCACTGCCACCATTTTCATCTACATGTTTGTTGCTTAATGAAGATAGAGAAAATCATGCAACTGTTCTGATTGGGTCCACTTAACTTTATGTTACATAATCTCAACTGGACCCTCACTGCTAAGAGGCAATCTGCTGTACTTCCCTTATCAATTTGCTATCCCTCTCTCCACAGCAACTCTTCCAATCCCTTTCATCCCTCCTTAAACCTCCTGTGGCTCCTTTCTCCTCCCACTTTCTCTGCTGAGAACCTGCCTCATATTTTACAGAAAAAAATTGAGGCCATTCACTATGAAATCCATCTTTCTCCCCTCTTCCTCATTCAGATGCCTTCTGCCACTATCTCCTCCTTCACCCTTGTTTCGCATGATGAAGCCTTCCTTACTCTTTACCACGGCTAACCCCTCTACTTTTGTGATCCCATTCCATCTTGTATCCTTCAACAGATTGCTCCCTCTATCCCACTTTCACTTATTTTCATTTTTTCCCTCTACTGGCTCATTTCCTACTGCCTGCAAAGAGGCTCATGTCTCCTCTATCCTGACAAAAACAAAACAAAACAAAACAAAACAACCCTCACTTGATCCTTCCATCCTTGCTATTTATCATCCTATATCTTTTCTGCCTTTTGTAGCCAAACTCTACAATAGGTACCTCTACTTTCTCGCCTGTCATTCTCTGCTTAATCACTTACAACCTGGCTTCTGACCTTCTCCAAAGTTACTAATGATTTATTAGTGTGACAAATCCAATGACCTTTTCAAAATCTCATTCTCTTTGACCTCTCTGCAGTGTTGACACCTTTGATCACTCTCTCTACCTTGATATTCCCTTTTTCTCTAGGTTTTTAGGACACCACTCTTCTGATTTTCCTTCTATCTCTCTCACTGATCCTCTGTCTCCTCTAACAGTAGGTGTCCCACAGGGTTCTGTCCTGGGCTCTCTTCTCTTCTCCCTTTATATTACTCCACTTGATGATCTCATCAGCTTCCATGAATTTAATCACTATCTCTATGCTGATGATTTTCAAATCTACTTTTCCTGCCCCAATCTCTCTACTGATCTCCAATCTTGCATTTCCAACTGCCTTTCAGACATCTTGAAGTCAATATGGCCAAAACAGAACTCATTTACTTTCCCAAGAACTCCCCTCCCCTCCTACCTTTTTAATCACTATAGAGTTCAATACCACCTCCTAGTTCTTTAAGCTGGCAACCTAAGAGTCATCCTAGATTCCTCACTATCTGTCATCCCCACATCCAAGGTATTAATGCCTGCCAATTTCATCTTTGCAAGATCGTTCAAATAAACCCCTTTCTCTCCTCTGACACTCACCACTATAGGTTAGGCCCTCTTCACTTCATGCCTTGATTACTGCACTAGCCTATTGATTTAAGTGAGGGAGGGCTGTGCAAAGGCAGCAGCCTCACTCTCCCTTCTGGAGCCATCTGGGTCTAGTGGCAAGATATAGATCAGGACAACTGGAGATGGCCCTAGGTGCAGTGTGGAAGACCTTGGCCTTTTAAAGCTGAGGTCTGTCCCTGGTCTGTTTGTCTGAGGCAAGGCCCATTCAGTGATTAAGGCTAGGTAAGAAATGAGGCAAAGAATAGCCTCTTTTACTCAGTCAAAAAAAAACCAATCAATCTGGGAGGAGAAGACCCTCAGAGTTTCTGGCCAAAACAGAAACAATTGCTATTTACACTCACTGAGGAGGCATCAGGGCCCAAACAAAGACCAAGTGAGGTTTGGGCTGGGACACATTGTTGGCCAACCAATGAGATGCAGAGTGATTTGGGTTTAAGGCATAGTCCTTAAAAAAGAAATCTAGCCTGTAAATTCCAATATATCTTGAGAAGTTCCACTGATCAAAATGTATATTCCTTTGGGCAGAGCACCTGCAGGAAAGGGTATATATGTGAACAGAGAGGAGGGAGAGAGAGAAGAAAGGAGAGAAGGGTGAGGGAGGGAGGGAGGGAGGGAAGGAAGGAAGGAAGGAGAAAAGGAAGGAAGGAAAAAAAGGAAGGAAGGAAGGAAGGAAGGAAGGAAGGAAGGAAGGAAGGAGTTGCATTGCTTAACTGGAACTGGCCAGTTGGAAAATCTAGGATCAAATACATAATTCTCTGGTATTCAAAACCCTTCATAATCTAGTCTCCTATCTTTCCAGTCTTCTTTTTTCCCCCTATTTAATATTTTCCCCCAATTACATGTAAAAACCATTTTTAACATTCATTTTTTTAAAAATTTGAGTTCCAAATTATTTCTCTCTCTTGCCTCCCCCCTCATTGAGAAGGGCAAGCAATTTGATATAGGTTATTCATGTGGAGTCATGCAAAACATATTTCCATGTAAGTCATATTGTGAAAGAAAACACAAACAAAAAAAAACAAGAAAAATAAGGTTAAAAAAGTGTGCTTCAATTTGCATTCAGACTCTATCATTTCTTTCTCTGAAGATAGCATTTTTCATCCTTTGGAATTGTCTTGGGTCACTGTATTGTGTGAGAATAGCTAAGCCATTCATAGTTGATCATTGTACAATATTGCTGTTACTGTGTACAGTGTTACCCAAGTGCTGTTCATTTCACTTTTCCTGAGTTCATGTAAGTCCAGGCTTTGCATCATTTCTTACAGTACTATAGTATTGTATCACAACCATAGAGCACAACTTGTTCAGCCATTCCCCAATTAATGGGCACCCCCTCAATTTCCAATTCTTTGCTACCACTAAAAGAGCTGCTATAAATATTTATGTACATGTAAGTCATTTTTCCTTTTTTATGATCTCTTTGGGATATAGACCTAGTAGTGGTAGTGGGATACAGACCAAGTAGTGGCTATAGGGTATTCATGGGTTTTATAGCCCTTTGGACATAATTCCAAATTGTTCTCCAGAATGGTTGAATTAGTTTACAACTCCACTCACAGTGAATCAGGAATGCTTGAAAGTCCTCCATTTCATTGAATATACTCAGTTTTTCTGGGTAGATGATTCTTGGTTATAATACTAGCTCTTTTGCCTCCTGGAATATAATATTCCAAGCCCTCCAATTCTTAAATGTTGAATTTCTAAATCTTGTGTTTTCCTGACTGTGGCTCAGTCTTGGCTGGAGCAATATTGGCTGCTTGCAATATTTTTTCCTTGACCTGGGAATTCTGGAATCTGGCTATAATATTCCTGGGAGTTTTCTAGAATATCAGGGCAGTTTTCCTTGATAATTTCTTGAAAGATCATGTCTAGGATCTTTTTTTGATCATGGATTTTGGGTAGTCCAATAATTTTTTAAAATATTTTATTATTTTTTCCCAATTACATGTAAAAAATGTTTAAAATATTCTTAAAAAAATTTTGAGTTCCAAATTCTCTCCTGTCTAATAATTTTTAAATATCTCTCCTCAATCTATTTCCAGGTCAATTGTTTATCCAATGGGAAGTTTCACATTTTCTTCTATTTTTTCATTCTTTTGATTTTGTTTGATTATTTCTTGATGTCTCATGGAGGCATTAGCTTCCATTTGCCCAATTCTAATTTTTAAGGAATTATGTTCTTCAGTAAGTTTTTGTATCTCCTTTTCCATTTGGCCATTTTTTTTCATGATTTTCTTTTATCACTCTCATTTCTTTTTCCCAATTTTTCCTCTATCTGTCTTATTTGGTTTTGATAACCCTTTCAGAGCTCTTCTAGGAGTTCTTTTTTTGGGTCTGAGACTAATTCTCTCTCTTTCTTTTTTTTAGGCTTTGGATATAGCAATTTTGACTTGGTTATCCATTTCTGGGTTTGTATTTTGACCTTGTCACCATAGTAACTTTCTAGGGTGAGGTTCTTTCTTTGTTGTTTGTTCCTTTTCCTAGCATATTTCTTGACTTTTAACTCTATGTTAGAATGAGA